ACATATCTGAAAACGACAAGCAACAATCCCCCCCCCCATCATCATCGGAGCGGTGGAATAGCACGGGTGACTACAAAAGCCACGAGTTCAAAACGAGACTCGGAAACCTGTGAAGCGCGCACAGCCCTTTGTGCGTTATCCAGCGAAACAAAAACAACACCGCCATATCCTGAAGAAGTGCATTGTGGTTCTTCTTGTCTTAGATCATCATCAAGGTCAATTTTGACTGACTGACAGCAGCAGTGATTGGGCCAATTTTGGCAAAATTAGAGCTCATAATAAAGGTTTTTTGGGTTAGATCGCGTTATTTATAAATGTGTCATAACCCTCCACCACCCGACACGGCCAATCAGAAAAAAAAGTGTCACGTTGACAAAAGACAAATAATTCACTACTTTAGCCCACCTGTGTGTTGAAGAGTGAATCCACAACATTTACAGTTTGAGTACGACGTTTCGCTGGTAAATACATCCAGCATCATCGGGCAATTCGCCAGAATGGTAAAGCCCTCGCTTGCTCCCGGTTTTAAATAGTGATTAATCACTGCACCTGATATGAGTTAAATGATGACGTCACCCTGCTGCTCTATTTAAAACCGGGAGCAAGCGAGGGCTTTACCATTCTGGCGAATTGCCCGATGATGCTGGATGTATTTACCAGCGAAACGTCGTACTCAAACTGTAAATTTTGTGGATTCACTCTTCAACACACCGGTGGGCTAAAGTAGTGAATTATTTGTCTTTTGTCAACGTGACACTTTTTTTGCTGATTGGCCGTGTCGGGTGGTGGAGGGTTACAACACATTTATAAATAATGCGATCTAACCCAAAAAAACCTTTATTATGAATAATATTGGTCGCGAAAGCCTACGTGTTAAACCAAATTAGAGCTCATCAGCGCAGTTCAGCCACCATTGTTCACTGCTGCAAAGTCTGCTTCCGGGAACCATATTGCTGCGGCGCCTTATAAGCATTGTGGTCCTAATAGTCTTATGGTGATGATGTTGTTCTTGCCATTGACAGATTTCATTATTGTTGGCCTTAGCCATGATAATGGGCCCTGTTGCATGGATGTGGGGGACTCGACATGGATGTATGTAATCTATGTTGCGCCTCCGATTTATAATCTGAGACGCGACATGGATCATTTCCAGAGGCAGACTGTGCAACTTTGAGCACTGTTGGCTATACCATGCTGAAGAGCCCGAATCAGCCGAAACCAGTCGATCACAGTTGTCTATCACTGCTACTGCCGTCATTCGGTCACATTTGCTCACAATTAATTTGATGGTGACCTTAAGATGAGAGGAATCGCAATGCAGTTCTTCAGTAATCGCTGATGGTTTTGTTGCATAATGCACAAACGGCCGTGTGCTCTGTATACTTTTTGGGTTTAGTTTGAAACTCATCGTGGGGTTTTCTCATCATTTACAGCCTCCTTCTTCACGTGTCTGTCCCTCCACATAGAATAAAACATTTTTTTTACACATGTCACGTTTTTTTTAATGCAGAGGGGCAGATATGGGAAGGGGCAGATATGGGAAGGGGCACATGGTCTGCTTATCCGTTTTGTGAATAACATTCTCCACAAGGACGCTTGTGATTATTTTGTGTCGTGTATTGTAGACTTTTGCGTAGAGCTGGGGACCGATAGCTGACAGTGCACCAGCATTGATCCCAGCGAGCTTGACTCTTCTGATGAGACGCTGAACGTCGAAACACGTCCAAGGTTTTGCCTGTGTTGAACAAAAACGCCGTTTGAACTACGCGCTCCCTAAAGAAAAACCATGTGGCTGATGGGATGTGGTGGTAAACAAAAAACTCGTGTGTTTATTATGTGGAGGGACCGCTATCGGAAGGATGTGTATTGTCTGCTTATCTGATTTCTTGCTTCGTATTATCCACGATGACGCTGATGAATATTGCCTGGCAGGGGTTTGTGCCACAAATGAATATTCTCCTCTGGGCAGCAGGGCCGCACTTTGCAATTGCATTCGTTTTTTTTTCTAAAGCGCCGCATCACTTATTTCTCCCATGCCAAGACAAAAATAAATATCTCCCGTATAGCTTTAACAGGCAGTTGGGGCAAGTGCTGCTAGCGAGTGCCTATGAAGGCCCGGCACGGCACACGAGGGCGTACGTAGGTGGCTAGCACCACGCCCAGCCACCTTTGTCTCCCGAGAGAAAATGTTTACAAATCGCACCAGGTACTTATTTGAGGCCGGGTCAACGTCAGGCAGGCCCAGGTCCGATTCAGATATTCGTCAGTGGAGTTAATGGCCCTGAGCAGGAATCGAACTTGGGTCACCGGGTTCATAGCACAGCGCAACAATCGCTTCCTCCCACCTCCCACTCCTCTTTACTCCACCCCCCTCTCCGCCACCCTGGTTCTGAGTGGTCAGACTTAGCTGGCTTACTACAGGTTGACAGTTCAAGCTCAGCTCCATCCCCGCAAGTGATTTCTACGGGTTATTTTCAAGAACGATCATCATCGTATCGCTTAGTTCGTACAGGTTGCATTGCAAAGCGTCTTGCGTTGCATTGCTGTTGCTGTGCTCGCGCGCCACGGGTCTCTCCCCTGTTAAATAGCCGTGAAACTGGCTGAACGGGATCAATCTGCGTGCAAATAAAATAGGCGTGACATTTGCAACGCGCGCCACGCGTTATTCACACGAGGGCACGGGAAGCCACAGGTGAAGGCATCTCGAACCAGTGCTCCCAACAGATGCCCGTGTTCTGTGGCCCTGCAGTGGGATGTCTTTTTTTGGGCCAACTCCATGAATGAGTGCGGATACATGCGGAGGGAAAAGGCCATGGTACCCGGAAACGTTTTGAGACGTATTGCACCCCATCGCATGCAGTAAGTCTCATCTCGAACGTTTGAAAGGGCTCCCCCAGTGGGAGCTGTCTCTGTTGCAACACAAGGTGACTTAAGCACCTGGCCTGCAGGTGGACATTAGTGTGCTTGTAGGGCGGCGGGCGGGCGGGCGGGCGGGGGGTGGGGGTGCGATGAATGCTGCTGTGCGTAATCCTCACGATCCTAGTGCTCCACGTTCACACGTGTAGACACTGTACCGGGTCCTCGGTTGGAGAGAGGGGAGACCTGCAGGAAGATACATTTGGATTGCTCCATTACGGACACATTTTTGGGTGCTCTCAGGGAGTAGAATGGATTGGGGGGGCCAGGCCTTGCAGGTATACGGAGTTGGGGCGGGAAGCTCACAGAAGGTTGGAATAAATCGATTAATTTCACCTGATTCGCTCGTGAAAATTGAAACCCCATCCTTGTCTCCTGAGCTCTGATTGGGTTGCGCAAAATTATCTTGACTTGCACTGCTCACTCATCATCTCGCTCATTCACTCACTCATTCACTCACTCGTGCTAATGAAACTTCATCCTGGTGTCTTGAGTTCTAACTTGGTTACACAAGATAAAACTCTCCGACTTGACCTTTTGATGGCACATGCGTGTTATTTTCATGACACAATGGCAAGGATTGCGTTTAGGTGAAACCCACATTGCTCGCGGCCATGAATTTTCTCTTGGGCTTTGCACGCACGCATGCACGCATGCGCGTGTGTGGGTTGTTGTGTTGAGTAAAGCGACATTCTTCATCGAGTGGTATTGATGCTGTTCATAGCACTGCGCTCTAAACTCGCTCACGGCCAACACCAGTGATTATCTGAACCGTTCCTGGGACTCCCCTAGGTCGATTCACCTACACATGGGCACCTGTTGCCATGTGTAAACATCACCACTGGGGAGACAAAGGCGGCCGAGCGTGGTGCTGGCCACCCACCCCCTCGTGTGCCACGCCGGCTTTCATAGGTGCCACTCGCTAACGTCACTTGCCCCAACAGTCTGTTACAGGCTATACGTTGCATTTTTTTCTTTTGTTGTTATTATTCTTACTCCTATTGTACGTGACATTTGCGAGCTTGGCCACGTCATCAGGTGCCTCAAAGGGCTCATTCCGCGAGGTTTTGTGCCGACGCAAATATTGTCAAGATGGGAGGCGCCGCAGCAATCCTTTACCGCCACCCTCGCTCGATGTCCAATCGCGAATGGGCACGCACTTGGGAACTAATTAAAAGGTAAAGGCGCAGCCCTGCAATTGCTGCTCTCACCACCAATGGCGGAAGGGGCCCCCTCTTAAAAGGTTGCGAAAAAACGGAGGTCATCGCAGATTGTTTACAAACTATAAAAAATATATACTCGGCTGCAGTCCCAATCCCTGTTTCTAATCTGTGCTTATAATCCGTGCTCCCAATTCTTGCTCCCAATCCGTGCTCCCAATCCAGGCTGCTTAGCTGCACTCCTAATTCCCACTCCCAATTTCTTGCTCCTTATCCGCATGCCTAATCCATGCTCTCAATCTGCACTCTTTATCCGCGCTTCTATTCTTCACTCCTAATTCATGGTTCGAATCCGTAGTCTCAATCCTTGCTCCTAATCCGTGCTCCCAATCCGCACTCCTAATCCATGCTCGCAATCCGCACTCCCAATCCTTGCTTCAAATCTGCGCTCCCATTTCGCCATCCAAATCTGCCCTCCCAATCCGCGCTCCCAATCCAAATGAAGTGTAAAACCAATTAATGGTAATGTTTTTTTTGTTGTGCAGTCATTGGTGACCGACTGAGACCATGAACTCACTACACTTGAGAATCCAGTTTTGTTACAGCCTGATCGCTTTATAAGTCTACGCATCTCTGTCTGGGTTTATATGTCTCTTATGTGAGGCTATTAAACTCGATACGAATCTCTACATGAGTTTGTGAATCTGTATGCATGTCATTGGTAACCGGTCTCAGACCATTAACTCGCCACACTTGAGAACCCAATTTTTAATCGGAGGCATCTGAGATTAATTTCCTGACCATGGCTACCATCAGTGTTCAAGTGATATCAAAACCAGCTCTGCCCGTGGTTCTCCTTAACAGCACTTGTCCGGACGGTCTGCTAAGGCTACACTGGATTGGGATCTTTGTCATTGTGTGCAGAGTACTGGGCGGAGGTGGCGCAGGACTTCCACTGGGAGACCCCGCCGAAGGGCCCCAGCCTTGAGTACAACTTCGACCCTGGGCAGGGCCCCGTGTCCATCAAGTGGATGAAGGGGGCCACCACCAACGCCTGCTACAACGTGCTCGACCTGAACGTCCACCGGCACAAACTCGGCGACAAGGTCGCCTTCTACTGGTGAGCGGCCACCGCCAAAATACCCGTGCCTAAAAACGCCCCCCCCCCCACCCCCCCCCCGCGCAACGGTGACTTTTTTGCACGACATGCGACCGGTGAGGCTTCTCTGGCCTCGCGAGTAGGGGAGTGGAAATCGGTGCCAGGCCCAAGGTGATGCCAGTTGATCGACGCGGTAGCCCCGCTCTTTTCAAGCGGCTATCGTACGATTCGCGGCGATTGCGCACATGGTAAAAATTGGAGCCCGCTCAAGTGATGCCACCCCGGGTGGCACTGTGATAAGTGGGATATCTGGTCTGGGTACGTGAACTGAATTGAAAGATTGCGAGTTCATATCCTGGTGCGGGGGAGGGGGGAGTGGTTGATTCAGCACCATCATCCTTCGGGGGGGGGGGGGGGGGGGGTTGGTAGAATGAGTACCAATTTGTGCAGAAGTCAACAGTGATGGTGCTATGGCATGTGTTGATAGTACAATTGGAGCTGGTGATTAAAAAAAAGCAAGAAAAATTAAACAGGAAAAAACTGAGGAGGAATGATGATTATGATGATGACAATGATACCCAACCTGATCTTTTTCCCATCTCTGTTGTTGGACGTCCTATGGGACATGTCTCCCTCCTTTGGTTGCCACTCGTTCGTAAGTCTCGACCACCGGCTATCAACTCCTTTTGGAGATGGTGTCCGGCCCAAACCAAGGCCCAACGAGGGTCCAACCAAGGCCCAAACCAAGGCCCAACCAAGGCCCAACCAAGGCCCAACCAAGGCACAGCCAAGGCCCAACCAAGGCCCAACCAAGGCCCAACCAAGGCCCAGCCAAGGCCCAACCAAGGCACAGCCAAGGCCCAACCAAGGCCCAACCAAGGCCCAACCAAGGCACAGCCAAGGCCCAACCAAGGCCCAAAGTTTAATTTATAGTTACATAGCAGAGAGAGATGGCGACGGCTTTGACGGTAGGCCTTCTTCCAGCAGAGGATAGATCACGGCTCGCGATGATGATAAACCTTTGCGTCATGCGTCAGTCTGTGTGACCACTTCCACCGATGCAGCCAGTTCAATGACGTCAGAAACAAAACCAAACAAATCAATATTTTGACATAGCCCACAGCGCGAGGTTATTTTTATTTTATACGTTGTGTGCGCACGTGGTCATTTTAGTGATTTAATGCATGTTGGAGTCGCGTGGCCAAGAAAGTGCTCATCAATCAGCTCAACTTAGCAGATTAAAACCTCCGCCGAACAATCGCCCGAGCGAGGTCGAGCGAGGCTTGTAATTTCCGGGAGTGGTGGGTACGAGCGAGTGGACGAGTGGGCGGGCGAGCAAGCGGACCGATATTCCATCCATCACGGCCGCGGTGGGCGGAATTCACTCCGATCGCTCCTCTTCTCTGGCAGAGTTAATGTTGTCGATAGTAGTCGTAAATATAATGATTTGTTTGTTGTCCATCTCTCGCACCTACGTACGATGCGAAAGAAGTCCAATATACACACACGTACATGATTATTATCCCGTCGGTGTGTGTGAGATTTTGAATTGACAGTTAATGTATTTTATTTAAAACTATGAAATTTATTTTATTTAATATCGATTATGGTTGTGCACTATCTTCAAACATGTTTCAAATGTAATTCTCATCAGGCCCCCCAAAGGTGTTAACAAGTCCGGTCCTCCAACCCTTATCATCCACTCTGTCTCCCTTCTGGCCTCTCTTTTTAATGGGCTGTGAAACTTAAACTAAAACGAATGTATTTTACCAGGTAAAGCCCACTGAGCTATTATGCTGTTTTTCAGAGGTGACCCGGCCACACATGATAGACAAGTGACTTATATCGTATGTGGGAATTTATAGGAGCAGCCAAATAATCTAATGTGAAGTGGAAGAGGGGGGGCCAAAACTGAGAAGGAACCCTGAGAACGATCTACGCCCAGACCACGGGAAGAAGAGAGAGAGACACGCGGACTCAGATATACAACAACAGGCATTGTCAGGGTCCGGGATCAAACTCACGACCCTCCTGCGTACAAGGCGTGGAGATTAAATCTCTTCGCCACCGCATTGCCTGTTATATATTTTTTTACCTTTAAGGTCACAGACACAGTGTTGTTATTTAAGAAAATGTTTGATTTACTTGGTCAGTCAGGCACATCTTAGCTTTTTCGATTTAGTAAAACATGTTTTTGCTGTGTACACCGTCTCGCCTGCATCGTTCACGCACATTGCATTTGCTCTGCAATCACTTCCTTGCCGAGTAATTGTCTCAATGCCCCTTTGCTCTGGGCGCCTTGAGGTGTAATGCATGAGAGGTGTGGTATGAATAATGAATGATGTTGATGTGTATTATATTGGCACGGAGAGATAGATGCATGCCGACCACTTGAAAATTACACATGTACGAACATGCAAACTTACATGTACGTATGGACACAAACGCGCGAACGTGCAAAGGCGCGCGCAAACACACAAGGGCACACAAACACAGAGGTACTGCACACAGGAACAGGCAGAAAACAAAGACTCCCCATATAGCCTGTAACAGACCGTTGGGGCAAGTGCTGTGGGCGAGCACCACTTTGAGGCACGTGAAGTGTCGAAGGATCGCTGACACGAGGTCATGGGACAGACCCCCCAGGTGTACCGTGGTTTAACTGACTTGAGATGACTGGCTCGCACAGCGCTTTGCTCTTTGTCATGAGCGTCGCTCCTCCGCTGTTGGAGGGCAACTGCCTCCAACTGCACAGTCGCGTGATTCACGAGCCTCCTCCATGCACACACACACACATGTAAATACATGCATACAAACACACACGCCTCGGATTATCACGGTTGGCTACGTATGGTGCGAAAGAAGTTGGGGCAAGTGCTGTTAGCGAGCACCTATGAAGGCCAGAACAACACACTTGGGGGTGGGTGGCCAGCACCACGCCCGGCCGCTTTTGTCTCCCCAGTGACGACATTTTCACATCACACCAGTTACTCATTTGGGGCTGACTCGACCTAGGGGAGGCCCAAGACCAGTTCATATAATTGTTACTGTGAATTCATAGCGCAGCGCAATAACCATGATGCTACCGCTCCCCACTCACACACACACACGTAAACACGTGCAAACACGCATGTTCAGAGTGCATACAAACACGGAGCCACACTCGTGCAGACCCACAGGGAACCCTGGCTGGTAGGCGCGTGTGTTTAGATCCGTGCGTGCGCGTTTGTGTGACGTGGCAGTCGTGTAGCGGTTAGTGTGCTGCGCTATGAACCCGGTGACCCGAGTTTGATTCCCGCTCACGGCCAACACCGGTGACCATTTTCTGAACCGGTCCTGGGTCTTCCTTGGGTCGACTCGGCCTCAAATAAATACCTGGTACGGTGTGTAAACATCCCCACTGGGGAGACAAAGGCGGCCAGGCGTGGTGCTGGCCACTCACCCCCTCATGCGCCATTCCGGCTTTCATAGGTGCTCGCTAAGCCCACTTGCCCAAACAGTCTTTTAAGGCTATACGGGGGAACTTTGTCTTTGGTCCTGGCCATGAATTCCAGCTACGTGTTTGTGCTGTCAATGTCATCCCCGCTCCCCGGATTACAGCTGGATCCGGGCAGTGCCCAGACTGGCTCACGCTCGGGGTCATGAAGGGCAAGGAGGGTTGCGGTGGGGGGGGAGGAGAGGGGCCGGGGGGAAGGGCAGGGAAAGACAGAGAGGCCGCGTCAGTGATTGACACATAGAGAGAGAGACACACAGACAAAGGGACACAGAGGAATAGATGGACAGACAGGTTTACAGAGGTACTGAGAGTGAGTGACAGATGCAGAGACAGAAAGAGAGGACGACAAACGTACATCTTGAGAGAGACACACAGACAGACACATACGGAGAAGGACAACAGATCATTAAATATGCAAACAGATGTACACAACCTTCTTTGGTTCTTTCGGTAAAGTCACGTAGAATGAGAATAAAATAATAAATTGATAAAATAAAATAACACAATAATATTCTCACGACGTTTCGGCCACAACACAAGCGGCCTTCATCAGGTGAAGGGACGAGACTGTCTGGTAGGACAGCGCTTTTATTTTATCAATTTATTATTTTATTCTCATTCTACGTGACTTTACCGAAAGAACCAAAGAAGATGAATCATTGCAGTCACGAAAGCTTTAAATCGAAAGATGTACACAAATTGAGAGACAGAGAGATGGATAGACATATGCACAAAGAGACAGATGGCCTGTGACAATCCAACACACAGGCAGACAAAGACATACACACACAGAGACGAAGACACAGGCAGAGAGACGGGGAGAGGCTGAGTGCACGCATTCACGAGACGGATATTGATTCTGCAGCTCCCGTTTTTTTAAATTATTTGATGAATTACAGTGCCGCACGTTTATCTCCCAGGCCGCAGCCTTGAATCACAGATATTCGTTGGTGGTGGAGGTCTCTATCGATGAATCCATCGTGTGCAGCGCTGCAGTTAGTGCCCTCGGCTCTCAGCCAGTTGAAATCGCATTCAAGAGGTCATCTCAGCCCATCATCATTATCATCCATCCAGGGTCGTTAAAACGAATACCACTATTTGGAACATTAACACTGGTCGTCCTGTGGACAACTCTTTCCACCACTACCACGGTAATGTGGAATTTCCACCACTTGTGGAATTTCCACCACTTGTGGAATTTCCACCACTTGTGGAATTTCCACCACTTGTGGAATTTCCACCACTTGCCTACACGGCACGGGGGAGGTCGGGGGGGGGGGGTGGTGGGGGGGGCGTGGCATTCATCCAGCAGTGAATTGACAGCTTAACATTGACATGATCGTCTGGTCGCTTAGCGACGACGCTTGCACTCTGCTGCTGTTGTTGATAGCAGTCCGATGTATATATGCGTGCTGCATTCCTTTTGCACCGTGCATACCCAGCCGTGCTAATCGGAGGTGAAGATGAAGGACAATCTGAATTATTTTTGGAGGGGGTCGACAAATTTTGGAACCCTTTTTGATCAACTTTTTCACCCCACACATCTGGGGGGGGGGGGGGGGGGGGGGGGGGGGAGGGGGGTCCACTTTCTATAACTTTTAGATTCAGGCCTTCTGAAAGGTTCTTCTATTCTTTCGCTCTTCTAATTTAGTTGACGGACGATTGGACCAACGGACAAATGGAATGCCGGACTTTTATAATTAGATGCAGGCATCAGGGTTGGGATCGAACCCACGATCTCCTGCATATAAGGCAAGATCGTTAACATCTCGCCACCGTGGCGCCCTTCTTACACATCCCATCGGCCACATGGCGTTCCTTTCGAGTGTAGACATTTCAGCAGGATTGTGTGCAACACAATCAAAAACTGTGGACTGGTTTCATCATTCAGTGCCTCGTGAGCAGAGTCGGCCTTGCTTGAGCCAGTGGTCCAATAAGAGCAAAACTCTGGACCGGTTTCCACTTGCTTTGGACCAATGCTGCCCAATCTGCATGGAGGTTTCTTATCAGGTCATTTGGTGACCTGGCTGAGACCATCAACTTGCTGCACTTGAGAACCCGTTTTAAACACAACTCAGTGTGTCTGAGTCTATGAGTCTATGTGGGAGTCTAATGCGGCTCTATGTGAGTCTATAGAGCTCTATGAGAGTCTCTGGTTCTTTATGTGAGTGTATGGGACTCTATCAGAGTCTATGGGGCTCTATGTGCATCTATCAGTCTCTGCGTGAGTCTATGGATCACCATGTGAATCGACGGCTCTCTACGTGAGCCACTGGTAACCGGGCTAGGACCAGAATCCATGTTCACTGAGCTAGGGAGCATCTGTAAAAAAAAGAGCTTCATAGCTCATCGGATTCCTCCAGTCTAAATACAGATTCTGATGTTTAATCAAAGGCAGCTGAAACCCGGATTTGACCCAGGATCAGTGTCTCTGACAGGGCCACATCTACAGTTTCCTAGTCAAGACCTTTACACGTGTTTGCTCTGTTCTGAGTGGGGGCGTGCGTGTTGGTGTTTGTGTGTGGGGGTGGTGCGTGTTTGGGATATTTCAAGTGTGCTTTGTTTAACCAGGTGAACATTCAAGAGACAAGGGTATTCAGTCTCCTTTACAAAAGCGACCTGCGTCTTTGTATGACCACTTTGCAAACCCTCCCTCCCCTCCCCATCCCATTCCTAAACTTACTCCTACAATCGTCTGCAATTCAGGTTTGACTCCGTGCTTTGACGTACATCATCATTTGTGATTTATCATGACATTCCATTACATTTAATTATCCAGGCGTGGTTCTGGCCACACCAACCCCTTGTGCTCCGTGCTGGCCTTAATGGGTGCTCGCTAACAGCACTTAGCCCCAACAGTCTGTAAAGGCTATATGGGACATCTTAGGAGCAGTGGAGTGGTGGTAACCGCACCACTGTGCCAACCCGCCGACCAGGGTTTAATTCCAGGCCACGGTTAACATCAGTGGCGAGTGATATCTGAACCGGACCTTAAAGATGCTGGTAATCATTCGTAATAGGCATGAAGTGGATTTTAATTTGGCCATAGTGTACATTTTGATTTAAAGCTTTCGTGACTGCAGGGATTCATATTCTTGGTTCTTTCGGTAAAGTCACGTAAAAAATAATAAAAATATAAAACAATATTGTTTCCCTTCTACGTGACTTTTACCGAAAGAACCAAGAATATGGCCATAGTGTGTCAACCAGATGCGAATTTGGATATAGATAATAACTTGTCCACCTTTCTGGATAAGGGCAGTAGGGTGGTGCTGTGGCTAACATTTGTGCCTCACAGCAAGAAGGGCCTCAGTTTTATTCCCGACTGGGGCGACTTTCTGCGTAGAGTTTGTAGTCTCTCCTTTTGTTCAACTTGGGTTTCCTGCAGCTTCTCCGGTTTCCTGCCATTGTCAATAAAAAAACACATAAAATGCTACTGGTATGAGCCAACGCATCACAACACTGCAACATTACCTGCAAATTATTCATTTGGGACGACGACAACATCGCCCCCCGACTGCGAAAACTTGGCAGGACCACCTTGAATACGAGCCTTGAGACTCGGTGAGGCTTTCCTGGGCAAACAAGCGTAATCATTTTCATAAAAATAACAAAGGAGAAATGCTCATAAAACACCACCTGCGTCATAAAGTACCACTTGCCCCAACAGGTGTGTGAGGCTACGTGGGTGGGCTTTGTCTTTGTGCACAGGGAGGGCAATGAACCGGGGGACTGCAACCAGATCACCTACAAGGAGCTGCTGGACCAGGTGTGCAAGTGCTCCAATGTGCTGCTGTCACACGGTAAACAAAACGCACGACACGCGTGGCCCCGTGCGTCTCCTGCCCATGAGTCACTGTGCCGGGCGCGTGTGCGCATGCGTATGTGTGTGTCTTAAGTTGGAAAAGTAGGGCAGTACAGCTGGTGAAGTCTACCAGTCATCTCGGTCAGCGCTCCCAATTCACCGGGGTCTGTCCCGAGCCCTCCTGCCAGCGAGCCCTCGACACTTCACGTGGCCTCAAAGTGCACCTGGCCTGGCACAGGCGCCCGTGGTTTCATCACCGTCACTTAGAGGCGAATGGCGGGTATTGGTGCGTCCGTGTGTTGGGGGAGCGGGAGTGTAGCGGCCCGAGTTCGATTCCTGCTCACAGACAACACCAGTGACGGCTTGGTGCTCCCCGAGGTCGACTCGGCCTCAATTGAGTACCTGGTGCAGTGTGCAAACATCGTCACTCGGGAGACAAAGGTGGCCGGGCGTAGTTGCTGGCCACCCACGGCCTTCATAGGTGCTCGCTGACAGCCCTTGCCTCAACAGTATATTAAGGCCATACGGGGGAATATTTGTGTTTGTGTTTCTGTGGGTGAGCGGTGGCACTTTGCTTTCCCTGCACTTGTAGTTCCATTGCCACTCTACTGCTACCGGTCCTGGCTGCCCGAGTTGAATTCCCGGCCATAAATAACGTGACCAGCGAGTGGTGTTTGGACTGGTCCTGTGTGTTCCCCTGAGTCGACTCAGCCTTAAATGAGTACCTTGTTGCGCGGTCGCGTGTAAACTTCAGCACTGGAGAGATACAAAGGCGGCTTTGGCGGGGTGCTGGCCACACCGTCCCTTGGAGCGAGCTCCTCGTCGGTTTTTAATAGGCGCTCACTAACAGGTCCTCTTAAACAAATCCGCCAATTACCCTGAAGGACTCCCTCCCGTACCTCAGAGGCGCCTCTCCTTATTCCTATTTTTTTCAAATCCATTTTGTTCAAACTTTGTTTGGTTAACAAGTGTTTCCTCGTTGCTGCTCCATGTTTCCGGAATCCCCTTGCCCGCTCATTGACTGCTTGGTTCCCTCGCTTCTCTCTCCCTGCCTTACTTCCCTTGTTAGACCAAAACACAGAGCTGACTTGCACATGTACCTAACTCTTTTGTTTCTAGGCCCCTCTTGCTCCCACATGATGTTGGCACTGTCTTTTTGGATTCGCGCGTGTTTCGTCTGCGACCGATGAACATGACGCCTCGTCTGTTCATTGTCCCTTAAGAGTCCTACTGTAATCGTCCTCAGCCATATTGATGGCTTTGTCTTTGGATTTTGCTGCTGCTGCTGGTGCTGCTGCTGCGCTCACATACCACGGATTCCTCCTGTAAAATATCTATGGAAACGGTTAAACGCGGGATATTTTTGTCTCTGCGCGGACCTGTGTCCGTGATCTTGTGTGCGTTTGCCTCTGCTGCTGTACCTCGCGTTGCGTCGACGCATCCACGTGCGTGTCGCCGTGAGTCTATGTGGGGAGCAGCGGTGTTGTGGTTAAGGGTGCTGTGCTCGGAACCTGGCGACCCGAGTTTGATTTTGCGCATTTATATGTGTCTCACTGCGCGTCCCCGTGTGTCCCCACATGTCCCGTTTGTGTCCCTATGAATCCCCGTGCATGCATGCCCCTTTTTCGTCCCTGCGTATTTCCGTGGGCGTGTCTCCATGTATCCCTGCCCCCCCCCCCCCCCCCCCCGTGTGTCTGTGTTTACGCGCGCGTGCCCCCCCAGGCGTGGGCAAGGGCGACCGCGTCGCCATCTACATGCCCATGATCACGGAGCTCGTGGTGGCGATGCTGGCCTGCGCTCGCGTCGGAGCCGTGCACTCGATCGTGGTGAGCAGTCGTGCAGCTGGGTGCAGCGGTGTGCAGCAGTGTATATTAGTGTGCAGCCAGTCGGGTGTATACACATGCAGCAGAGTGCAGCAGGGTTGTATACTGGTTTGCATGCAGTGTGCAGGAGCGCTAGTCAGGTATGCCAGTGTGCAGCAGTAGGGCACTGCAAGATGGGAGGACGTCCGATGGATAGTGGCGATTTCGGAACGCATCTGTCAAGGGCTGGCATGCTTGGCTACGTACGGTGCAGAAGAAGTTCAACGTACACACGTAGAAGGGGCATGTGTTCGAGAAACGGTGATGTGGAGCAGAGAGTGGGGGGGGCACCACATTGCACGTCCGGGCATTGCACGTGGTGGGGACAGTGCAGCAGGTCACCGCTCGCCCCCCCCCCCCCCCCCCCCCCCCCCGCTGGGCTATTGCAAAACACGGGGAAGACGAGCGCAGGGCTCGGATGTCGGCACCGCGAGTCGCGACGTCGTGCGGCAAGGCTCCGTGAGTCGCAGCGGACAGTCGAGGCAGTGGGATGTGGCGAGACGCTGGGGACCCGCACGCGCGTGTGTACAGGGCGTGTCGCCGCGTTAACGCGCCTCCTCTGCGTCGTCTCAGTTCGCAGGTTCTCCTCCGACTCGCTGAGCGAGCGCATCCTGGACTCCAAGTGCTGCATGCTGATCACAGCCGGTAAACGCTCGCACAGACGACCGAATCACTGTGCATCACCACCACTCCCTGTGCACCAAAACGTGCACTCAAAAGACGAAGATGAAGGCCCCCCCCCCCCGTAAACTATAAACAGACTTTTTGGGGCAAGTGCTGTTCGTGAGCGACACGTATGCATCGTGCAGGACTCGTTAAAGGCTGAGTCGACCTAGGGGGAGGCCCATGACCAGTTCAGATAATTGTCACTAGTGTTGGTGGGCGTGAGCTGGAGTCGAGCTCGGGGCGCCGGGTTCATCGCGTGGCACGTTAACCGCTGCACCACGCTCCGTCCACCACTCCCCCATACACAAACGCACAACTCGCGCGCACACACACACACGTGCACACTCCCAAAGCGTGCGCACTCTCCATACCGGCTTAATGTAATTGGAATGTCGTTATTCAATCATTGCTAAAGGCACTCTGGCTCGATTACATTTCAATTAAGTTCTGCGATCAAAAAAATAACGGTGGCCGGGAAGCTCCTTGAGCCGTGCGTGTTAGCGGCGCCGCTGACACACCCTGGGTTTTGAACAGGATTTTGGCCAAGAACCCCTTTGCTAAATTCGGCTGCTTTTTTCGACAGGGTAGGTCAGTAATAGCGACGCAAACATTCTTAAAATGTTCGTCATGTTTGGATCGTTCTTGCAAGCCTTGTCGTGCCTCCGTTGAGACAGACGGAGCGAATGATTCAGGCTTTCAGTCCTAATTGTGGTTACACCACAGCAGCAGTAATCGTCGCCCACTAAACCCCCCCCCATCCTACTGGCAGATAAATGCTTGTTTGCAGGCCAGGTGCTTGAGTCACAGTATGCCACACAGGGACAGCTGCTGCCACTGGAGGTGCCCTTTTAAATGTGATGGGATGTGAGATGTGTAGGAGCATGCCTTATCAAAAACAAAGCATCATTAAGCCTCACGGCTCTTGCATTGTAGTATTGTTTAAAATGTGACAATAACAAGTGGTGAGTGGAGATGTCTGGGTGGCTCATGTGTTGTGAGCTCTTTCGCACCATATGTAGCCAACTGTGCTAATCAGAGATGCGGGGGGAAGGACAACAAACTAAGCGGAAAAGCATTTCTGAAGAAATTCGTTTTCAATTTAGGCTCAGAGGTCAGAGACGCTGAGCTGGCACCGCTGACATTCTGGGTTTGAGTCTGGGTTACGGAACTGCCCGCGGTTAAACCGGGTTCTCAAGTGAGTGAACCTTTGGTCATAGCTGCACGCAAAAAACCCCACCACATTAATTTTGGTCGTGCACTTAGTCTGGCTGAATTTTAGGCCAAAACTGTCGCCGTTTTTTTGAGAGGCTCATGTCTGAATTTACAAGATCTCTTGAGTGCGCTCAAGAACAGTTAGCAATTTACTCGGTACTCAGTTGAACAGATGCACACTCATGCGCTTACACACACACTCTCATTTACACACACGCGCAGTCGCACGCTTAAACTGTCATGTACACACACATGCACATGCACTCGCAGCGTATACACATTCATGTACGCAAGTACACTCGCAGGATCTCAGCAGTGCTGGCTCAGAATTCTTACTTTTCCCCTGAGCCACACGTTAATACATGAGCTCTGTCCGTCGTCTGCCTGCATAACAATGATCCAGCATAAACAAGACTTGAGCATGAAGTTGTCTGCTATCGGGAACCTATCCTGTTTAATATCGGCCTCATTGATCAAAGGGGTAGTGCGTTAGCTCTGTCTGTCTGTTCATAACTTCGGGTCACAGTAACTCTGGTAAAGATGATCCAATGTAAGCGCAACTTTAGTGTAAAGTTGTGTTGCTATTCGAGAACTGTTGAATATCGCCCCCATTATATTAATTCAATACTAGCACGTGTTGGAAATTGTTCTGTAATGCGAGCATATGAATGATTTACTTTTTCCCGTGTTTAAAATGACATTTGATCAGGTGGTGCTTGTGGTTAATGTAGGCACCATGTATCCTTCCTCTTCCTCCTCCCCCTTGTGTTTTGCAGACGGATTTTACCGCGGGCAGAAGCTCGTCAACCTCAAGGAGATCGCTAACGAGGCCCTGCAGAAGTGCATCGACAGGTGCGTGTGTCGCACCACGCGTACACCACCAATGGGCAATGGGGTGGTCTGAATGCTCTTCAGTAGCCTCCTCCAGGAAACATGATATCTGAGGGACTCTCCTCCAGGAGTCTGAGTGCTCCCTTCCAGTAGTGCTTGTACTCTCCCTCCAGGAGTCCCAGTAATCTCTTCCTGGAGGTTTCTGGCTGCCTTCCTGCTTTGTCTGTGGTTTCCCGCTCCTCCGTGGAAAAAACCCTGCCGGTAACCCATTTGACAGCGTTTTGTGATAGTCTGAATGCATGACGCTAGCTGAAATCAATACATTATTATGATGATTATTACTCAGCAGTCCCAGTAATCTCTGCCAGCAGTGCCAGTACTGTCTTGCGGGCGTTGAGTACTCTCCTCCGGGAGGGCTACCTCGGTGTCCGCAAGTCACACGTGGGCGTCACACACGTGCGCGCTTCAATGCCCACAGGGGCCGCCATGTGGTGGAGGTGGTGCATTGTGGTCCGGCACTTGGGCTGCGACTCGGAGAACGGAAACGAGGAGAGCGTGGGGGAGAAGCAGAGCGGGGGAGAGGGGAAGGAGACGAAGGGAAAGTGCCAGGCAGGGTCGCACTCCCCACAACCCAAGCGCCCTTGTCCTGGCCTCCAGGTAAAGCTGTGAAGAGTGGACGCCAGCACATACATGCGCGCGCACACACACACGAACATGTGCACACACACACACACGTGCGGATACACACATGTGCATACGAAGACAAATGGATACACGCACGCGTGCATATGCGCACATGTATGCGCATACACATGCGCGCAGACAACGCATGTGTGCGGACACACAGATACAAACGCCAACCCCCCCCCCAACGTGATCACACGCGCATGCATGCACGCACAGACACAAGAGCCGCTATGCATTATTTTACGAGTGTGGCAACACATCGACGGGAAAGGCCACTGCCTTAGCGATTCCGTCCCGTCTTTTTGGGGGACGAGGAGGACGATGTGGGTTCAGGGCTCTGCCTCCCTCCAGCAGGTCTCGCCCTGCCCAGGTCGGATTCGAAGAATACCCCGCGCGGCCGACATTGTGGTCCGTCAACAGGTAACCCGGGCCCCGGGAGGGCCACTCTGACGGCCTCTTTTTCCTCCGTACAACCGAGCCGCCCCCTCCGCCGTGGTCGTGCCGAGTCAGCCCGGCGTGGCTCAAGAGGCGCTGGTGTTGTGTGTTTTTCCCCACTGAGGAGCCGAGCCGTACCGTTGGCGTCGCGCGCGATGAGCAAGTCAAAGCTCGCTGCGTAGATGACGCGGCGGTGGCGATGCCGCATATCTCCCGGCGTACTGATCGACCGACATTGTGCGCAGTGAGCGTCACTGTCAGTAGCCCTGCCCCCCCCCCCCCCCCCCCCCCCCCCACCCCCCCCACCCCCCCCCCCCCCCCCGGCCCTGCTTGGCCCCGAACAAGATTCAGATGTCTTCTTGTGCGGCCCAGCATATCACAGTTTTGGTTCCGGTTCGGCTCGGCCAACACCAGTGGGGAAACCGCCTGTACCATGAAGGCCCCCCGCCCCCCCCCCCCCCCCCCACGCTGGCTCGGCTCGGATGTGCCAATGGAAAAAGGGTGAACTTCTTGCCGGTACGAACGGCAATATTAACACAAACTGGAATGTGTAACCCTAACACCACACTGCGCTTCGCTTTGTTCCCGTTTCTCGTCTCCGTCCGATCTCAACGAATACAAACAAATGTCGGGGTCTGGCGTCCGTCTTCTTTCTAGCCCTGGCTGCCAGCAGAAATTCGACATTTCCGTGGCAGGGGATGCTATCGTCTGTAGGGCAACCACTGTTGACCTGTCTGCACAGGTGGTGGTCAGTTTTGAGAACTCTGGAGGGAGGACGATTATGTTGCTGATGACCCTGATGATCATGATGGTGATGATCACGATGATAATGATCATGATGATAATCACCACATTGATTGACGATGCTGATGATCTTGATTAATGATGCTGATTATCTCGCTCACAATGCTCATGATGATTAACGATGTTGATGATCATGATGATTAATAACGATGCTCATGATCGACGATGTTGATGATCATGATGACTGACGGCGCTGCTGCCGATGATCATGATAAAAAAAAATTGTTGATCATCGTCACGCGATGATCAAAGGTAATCAACGTGACGATGATGATCGTTGTCAGTGTTGAGCCCTGAGCGAGGACCCGGGGAGTCTTGCCAGGACATTAGGATCCTGCATTGCATGATGGGTGAGGCTGTGGTCAACACCTGTGCCTCACAGCAAGACGGGCCTCGATATTATTCACAACTCGGGCACCTCTCTATGTAGAGTTGGGATAATCTCTCCATGTTCTGCACGAGTTTCCCCTGGCCTCTCCGGTTTCCTTTCATAGCTAATAAAAACAGTTATATTACCCAAATATCCCAATACTAAAATATTACCTGCAAATCACTCAATTGAGATGAGAGAAAGTAACATTGCCCCCTACTGCACAAATTTGGCAGGACCCTCTTGAAGAAGAGTCGTGAGACTCTGTCAATATTTCCTGTGTAAATAAATACATTATTATCACAATATGTTCAGGATGGCAGACACATTTTCAGCACGGGATATCACTTCGACCGATGATTTTGAAGTTTTATTGGGCAGCCTGATATGCAACATAAATAATTAGACAATATGTTTACACTACTCATCAACCACGTGGCCTTCTGGGAGTGCACACTTCCTGTCGACCGCAAGGCCTTCTGGGATGGCATAATGTCATCAGAATTGGTTCAGTGCAAGCAAAACTCTGGGCCGGTTTCGACAATCAGTGTCTTGAGCACATACGAAGGTCTGACGGACATCGACAAAATAACACACGCTGGCTGTGTTTGGGTTGCACACTCCTCCGTTCTACTCACCCCTTCCTGTCTTTCCGCCTACGGTAGAAACGGTGAAGCCCCAGAATGCTCTGTGGCATGGTGAGCGTTGGTCAGGCCGCTAGAATGACCTCTTGGCACCCCGCATGTTGTTGGTCCCACGGTGGATAATTTTAGCCGCCGTCACTGGTTTTTTTCAAATTCCTGGTGCAAGCGACAGTTTTCTTTGCGCTGTGTGGGATATATAAAGTGACTGGTCAGATGCCCACCTAATTTCAAATCGACCAGCGACTGCAGGACAAGGCTCGACAATTCATTAAGTGTTTTTTTTTGCGGGTTTGGCCCCGTAACGATCTGACCGAATTTGCGTAAATAAGAACCCTCCATCACCCGACACAAACGTCAATTACGAATCGTAACACTTTCCTGCGAGAACAACCTGCATGTGAAGTTAATAAAGTAGACGCCCAAGGAAGAGGTAAAGTTCACCCCAAGTCATTTGGAGAGAAGTTATGGTTGCTGGCAGGGTTGGCGTTAAGGGTTTGTGTGTGGATGGAAGTTGCCTTAACAGTGCCTTAGAGTTAGGTTGGGGGTAGGGTTAGGCTTTAAGACTTTGGAGAGTTTTGACACGATGATCGTTAGGTTTGGGTTACGGTTAGATTTTAAGACTCGAGTTATAATTGAGCAAGGCTTGGGTTATAATTAAGAGTTTAATAGTTTTAGTACTCGGGTTATGGCCAGCTTATAGTTAAGGTGTTAAGCTTGCATTACAATTAGTTTTAGTTTAAAATGTAAGATTAGGCTTCGAGTTAGTTCGGGTTAAGGACAAGGGTCTTATGAAGGTTAGGCTTGAGATATTTGGGTAAGCTTAGGGTTAATGTTTAAGACTCGAGTATCGATTAGGGCCGGGTTAGACTTAATATTTACGACTGGGGTCAGAGGGTTTCGTTAGCGTTACGGATAGACTAGCGGTAGGGTTATGACGATGACTGTCGATGTTAGTGCCGTTGTTCGCATGAGATGAACATTAACATTACAGCTGCTGCCAAGGCCCGAAGGCGAACACTCGAATCCACTGAACCAATTTCACAAGCGTTCAGTTTTCCCGTTGCAATTTGGCTGCTGTTGTGTCGGCAGCGGTGCCGAGGAACAAGCAACAAGACTAGCGCTCGGCACGTTCGTCAATAACAACACTGTGGCCCCAAAGATATAGGGACAACTACAACAGGCGACATTTCGGACCATGGCCCTTGTTGTCAGCTCAAGCTTCCTTCCGTTTTTCCCGCTCGTGGCGTCGTCCGTTCCAGCACCGTGCGTTTGACAGCTTTCACCGTTGCTCCAGATACTGTTACTACCACTACTGCTGTTACTACCTGCCGCTGCTACTACCGCCACTGCTGCTGTGAGCTGTTTGTAGGTGTCCGGGAAAGTGGATTGGTGGGAGTGCAGAACCCCAAGAACCCTTGTTAGATATATACGTAGGAGGCCACAGAGGCAGAGGACGACCGTGAAAGAGGTAAACTGATAGAGGGAAGGAGGGAGGAGGCATGAGAACAGAGAGGAATCATACAGAAGCGTCAGCAGCAGAAGGGATACGGTGACGACGACGACGATAATTATGATGATCACCAGTAGTTGAGGACGGCCGCTGCTACTCCTATCACCGATGCCAGAAGGTCATGGGCCCAGCGGCCCATATGTACATTCGTACATTTTACTTCTTTCTCACCGCACATATCCAACCGTGCTAATCGGAGGTGCGGGGGAATGACAACAAACTAAACGCCAAAAAGCAGTTCTTGAAGAAATTAGTTTTCAATCTAGATTATTTAAAAAGGGAATAGCTCCAGTTTGGCCTCCGCCAAAATAATTGCATGGGTGAAAGAAGCTGTAGGGACTGCGTGGTGCCCGGGCTGCCTGACGCCAGTTTTTGAAGCCTTGTTAAATATAAAAGGAAACAAAAACTTGACTTTAAAATGACTTTCAGGATCGCCCCCCCCCCCCCCCTCCTTAGCGCTACAGTGACGTTCACTGCAGTGGCTGCCCGTCGTAGCCTTCGCCGACCCGCGCTGGCGACGTGATCGCCGTGGCTCGCGATGCACGTGGGGGAGGGTCGGGAGGCCTCCCCCTCCAGCAGTGGATTGACGGAAGAGCTGCACTGTGTACACGTAGCGATGTCACCAGAGTCCTCCAGGAGGTTGATTGAAATTGTGCTCGACTCGTTAATGTAACCTCAAGCACGTGTTGGAGAGCTCGGGGGTCCGCAACGGAGTTTTGCTATTCTGACCTCTTGACCTTGATGTTTAAATAAAAAATGGGAATTGTACCACAGGGTGGCCCAACAGTCAGGACACATTGAGTTATTTTCCTTCACGAAACCAAATGGGTTATCTAATTTACTTTAACGAATGTTCAATCTGACTTCCATGAACATGAATGCACGATGCATGAATTTAAAATGAAGTGAGGATTTCTTTTTTTATTACAGCTGCCTTCTTTAGCGTACATGAAGACGAATTGAACTCATTCGTCTTTCGTCAATTTTCTTTCCATTTTTAAATGTCACCAAAAGAGCAAGAGGATAAATAAATCATTATCAAAGGTAAAACATTAACTTAAACAATTTCAATGTTTTAATGCCAGTGTTAAAAGAAATGAAATAA